TTGGTCCTTATTTATATTAGTTAAACTTGGAATAATATTTATCTTTATTTTATTATCAATAAATTCTGAATTATGTTCAATTTGTAGTTGTAGGACATTTCTTGCTATAGAATTTTCTGTTGATATTAGATTTAATTGTACAAAACCTTATATTGTTTATAAAAAATAGCACATCTTACTATGTAAATGTAACTCTGATTCTTAATACAGGTTCTGCTCGTAGTGCTTAATTGTTTCATTTTAATATTTGAGTGTGAAAAAAAAACTATTGATCAATATTTATTTCATTTCTGACAGAAATATTTATTCATAAGTTAATTAATTTCTATCTAAAATATTTGTATTTTGTTTTCAGTAACATTTTTTAAAAATTATTCTCTTTCATCTAAGAAATAAATCGTTAAATATTAAATTTAAATAATAAGATTAATTGAATTTTAAACCTTGAAAATATTGATAGTGATATAACTGACGAGAATAGATCGGTGTTCATTTAAGTATATGACATATTTGTATAGTATGAATATATTAAATAAATTAGTGAGTACTGATTCAAAAGATCTTTCTACTTAGTAAACAACTTATTGTATAAAAGATTAAATGGTTGGTCAATATACCCCACGATATGAAATAATAGCTCACATGGGAATCGATCCATTTTCTCTGTTGTTGTTTTGTTGATTTGTGACAAAAAATGCTATTCATACATAAGTATCATCATATATAGTATAATATTTCATTGTCAATAATGTTATTATGCATCGAACGAGTATTGTTTTCTCCGTCAATTGTTAAACCATGAACGTTGACCTATCAGGAAATAGGAATGCAAAAGCAGACGGAAACATCGTTCTATTTCGAGTAGTTCAAACTTTTTCATAATCTTCAACAAAAACTTGATTTTCTCTTGTCGACTATTTGATAAACAAACAACGATCGATTTGAAGAGTTTTATGAAGCTTTCATTCTAATAATATGAATGTACTTAACTTTGACATTTCTCATAACGTTCATTGTTGTATCGAAAAGCATATTAGTGCCATCTTGACATTGAAACTGAATAATACAATGCTATTTTTTTAAATATTTTGTATAGATATACATAAAAATAAGTTTTTAGTGCAATCAAGACACGGAGTTCAAAATTGATCACATGATGAAACTATCGTACTAGCTGTCTAAAGCATTCGTTCTATCTGAAATTATCATTACGTATAAAAGAAAATGTTTCGATTCAAATGAATTTAAAAGTTTTCCAACAAAATGTTTATAGATATCTCGATATGAAATCTAGGTATTTTTTTGTTTCTTTCTGTTAATTTACGACGAACACATCGTACTATTGTGCGACGTATTCATCATTTCCACACATAAGATATATCTAGGAATATAGCCCGAAAATTTTAGGTCATAATACTATCTCGTTATTGAGTTATTGAATTTTTACAAAACATGAAAAATAGCAAAAATTGATTTCATATTTAATGAATTTATTTTTTATCCCTATTTATGCTGAAGTGTTTTCAAAATAAAAATATCCCTATGTAGTAGTTTTTATCCAGCTCTATCTATTACAAAAAGAATTGGACCAAAAAGTGAATTATAGAGGGACAAAAATAATATTGCAAAAAGAGGTAAGTTTTTTTTTGGGGAGCCATCCTGTATCATAAAAGACACAAGAATAATATCGTAAATAGAATGAAAAGCTAGTTTTATTTGACACTATACTCAAGCATTATATAATTGTTTACAATTATGTTTGTTTCAACTCTACAGATACATACTAGAGGTCTTTGCTTTGATCAAAGAATAAAGATTTTTATTTAATATAATATAATTTGATATTAGAGTGAGATTGTTTTATTCTTAAAAAAAAAACATTTTTAGTCTTTAATTGTTGTGATAAGATTTTTCCATTCATTTGTTCTAATTTGAATAAGATTATCAAGTTCAATTGATAAATCATTTGCTTTTGGTCGAAAATCTTCATTTTGTCGATTAATATAATCAAGAAATGAATCAACAATTGAACTACTAGAAAAATAAATAATAAAATCAAAATAAAATTTTTCTTATTTTTTGTTTTTTTTTTACTTTTTTGAAAAATCATTTTCAATTTGTTTAACTCTTTCGATTAAATTTTTAATATTTAAATCAATATTTAAATCTTGTTTAGGTTGTTTAATATCAATTGTTGAAGTTGTAGATTTCGAATTTTCAATTATCATTTTAATATAATTAATTATCCTATTCATTTGTTCTGTTGTTTGATCAATAAGTGATAATCTATGTTCAAGTAAACCATCAATTAATTTAGAAAAATTTATATGTTGATTAAGACTATCAAGTATAATTTGTTGTTTTAAAGCTAGACGATTATCATTTGTATATTGTTTTTCAAGAATATTTAAATAAATTGTTTCAAGTGAATGTTCATGACGTGATAAATATATATTAAATAATTGAGTTTCATATTGTGTACGTTGTTGTTGATGAACAATAGATTTTGAACCAAGACGATCTGTTAATTTTCTTTGAAAGAAATTATTTATTTATTTATTTATTTTTAATAAGAAAATCGATTATTGAAATTTTTACTTAAGATCATCAATTGGTGTTGAATCAAAATATTTTTTTAATTGTGTACATAATTGTAATTGAGATTTAAGTGTATCAAATTCAACATTAGCTAAAGCTGATTCGACTTCTAATCGAACAAGTCTTCATGAAAAAAAAAACACACGACAAAATAAAAATAATAACAATTATGAAATCGTTTTAATCTTGTTTATTTTGTATATATCTCAAAAGAGAATATTCTCAAACAAATAATCATCATCTACATTCCTTCTCTTTATGTTCGAAGAAATTGAAGTTGAGAATTTTTTTTTCTCTGAAAAGAATAATCTTCATTTTTATATAGAAACTTCGAATGGCTCTATGAATCATTGTCATAGAACAATGAAAGAGAAAAATTTAGTAAAAATTGATTATCACTTTTCTTGTAGATCATACAAGTGCTAATAGAAATACACAAGATCAGATTATTGAAAAGAAGCATCATAAATCTGAACTCCTTTCGTCTTAGTTTTACTGTGCTCTATATATAGTTAAGCAATAAACTTAAATGGTGTTTGACCGATGAAAATGTTACCTCGTCAGTATACACAGTAAGAGGAACTGATGTTCTCAATTTAAACATAAAAATACGTAAGAGCGAACTATCCAAGCTGATACCTACCATCTGAACTCATATTAGACCTACAAGAACTGCTGTATGAGACTAGCAAAAGTCTGAATAAGTTCATCTCTATGGATCATTCGAACCGAGCTATGATTGTTTTACTGAATTTTCGCTGAAAATAATGTTCTGTTGTCGACATATTGAATTTTCAAGTAAATTCAATTTTTGAACCATGCCTGTAGTAAATGAACATTGTTTTAAAAATTTGATATCTCGACAACAGAACACTGTTTTCGGCTGATATTTTTAGAATACTCTACAAGTTATTCGATCTATATATGGACAAAAATTTCACGTGGAAATTCTGTTACTTCTTTGTAGGTCCAATATGAGCTCAAATGACAGGTATCAGTTTGAGTGGTTTCCTCATTACAGAAAATGATGCGTTATATAAATCTTATGTGCGAAAAGCTATGATGGTTTCCTTAGAAGAGACAATCCTTTCCTTATGGATGAAATTTGCTAATAATAAAACTTTGAATCTTCTTTAAACAGTAACGTTATGCACTTGTCTTAAGAATTGAAATGAAAGGAGTTGTTTTGATGGTGTTTTTTAAAGAAATAAAATGAAAAATATCTGTAACATTGCAGTTTCTATTAGTGTTCAGTAGCCGGGTTAATTCGAGCGTCGGGTATGACAAATATATCGAATCGGGTACCGAGTATGATCTCATATCCGAAGGGCCGATCCATCGATTAATCGGATATCCACGGTTCAAAACTTTTTTACTTTTGCAAACTGCTAATTTATAGAAAAGTATAGGAGTGAAAAAAACTGATTTGATCACTATTGACCAATTTGCTGTACTTGAGAACAAATCACAGAGATGAAAAGCAATATTGTTCTATGAAAATAATTCATTTTTAATGAATATTCATCTACAGATGATGATGAAGTAAATGAATACATGAAGAGAAAAATGAATTATCAAAAAGGTGAACATGTAAAACATTCATGTATGTATCCACAATTAGAATGTTTGACATTAACACTACGTTTCATTCCAGTGTCATCAGCAACAAACAAACGTATACTTAACGAAATTGATCGGACTTTGACATGATCTCTTTGTTTTTGTTACTGTTTATAGAAGAAACTAAATAGTATACTTTTTCATATAAAATAAAAGTTTGAAAACCGTACTATGACTGTGAGGGTATTTGTCGGATGTCGACTAACTCTGGTCGTTTACCGGGTACAGCTATCCAGATCCGGTTGTGAAAAGTTGTACCTGTTCAGGACAGTAATATCTATGTATCATTCACTGAAATATGATTACTGTTTCAATTCAGCAGTCATGTTGTGCTAAAAGTCATTATTATCGATGAACATCGTTTTGAATTTATTCATAATTTTCATAGAATATCGTGTTTTTTGGTTATCTGAAAGCTTTTTAAAATCTGTTAGATTCGAAATTTTCTTATTTCTTGAGTGTGAGATATACACAAAATAATCAATATGTAGTACATTAAGTAGTTTTTTTTTTATTGATTGCAATACATACTTAACAGTTCGATTATTTAATTGTGTAATAAGATCAATGCTAGGATTTTGTTCAAATGTAATTTCATCAGTCTAAGAAAGAAAAAAGAATTTGTTTTTTACTATTATGATTGAATTTTTTCTACCCAAATATTTTGAAGAATAGATAAATAATTTCTTTCCATTTGTATAAAATTCATTCCAATTTGTTGAAAATTATTTATATTTGTTGTTGTTGTCTGAAGAAGATTTTGTGGTGATGACTAAATAATAAGATTTAAAAAAAATTTTTAATCTATGTTTTTTTTACAAGTTGTAATAATTGTTCAATTTGTCGACGTGTTTCACGAATTTTTTCTTTTGCTTTTGGACCTTTCATTAATAAAGTTTTATATTGTTGTTGTTTCCAATTTAATTGACATTTTAATGCTTGTGTTTGAGCTTTAATACATGAATATTGTTCAGTTAAATTTCGTTGATAATTTGTCCATGGAATAACCATTTTTCTTATTTTAAAAACAAAAAAGAAAACGATAAATATATTTATTGAAAAAATCTTTTTTTTTTTCAATTTACCCATTATCAAGTGAAATAAGAATATCGAGAAGTTTTTGTCGTTCATCATTATTTTCAATTACATCATTACTAACTAAAGCATATCTATGAAAATAAAAAAAAGAACATAGACAAAATCTACAATTATAATTCGTTCTTTTTTTTCTTTCTCAATCAAACCTTGTTAATTCATCTTCAGTTAAAAAATTTTCATTCGATAAATTTTTAACAATCCATGTAAGAAATGGTTCAAGACCTGGTTGATAAACAAACCAATCGAAATTATATGGTTCATATTGATTAATGCCTGGATAATGAATTTGTTTCAATAGATTATAGAATGCAATACCAAAATTTGACATTATCGATTCTATTATCCTTTATTTGAAATATATCATCTTTTGAAATCATAGAGAACACATTGACTGAACATGTCCATTGAAAATTTTTCTATTGTTTAAATGTGCGCGTTTCCCATATCATAGAACATTATCTTTTCTTTTCGACTAACTAATTTTCTTCAAACTAATTTTCTCATTTATTATTATAAAAATTTTTTTTGTTAATTTTAATTTTATATGTTAATGTGGATGTCGCTACTATCATTAAGTAATGTATTGGATATTTTTTTTTTATATTGATCGATATGCATATATTTTTTATCGTTCTTCAATATGAAATATTTCTCTCATACTGAATTTTTTGCTCGTATATAATTAGTAATACCTATGCATTCCCACGCTCGTGTTCTTTTTCTCATACCGTACTGTTGAAAATCGTGGATACAACTTATTTTTTTCGCTCTATAGAGTGTATTGACTTTTATTAAACGAATGAATACAATTATTATTGTATGTATTTTTGTTATGAAGATTCTTTTTTTAGATATAATTGTGTAGATAGTTAAACTATGTCCACATAATACATGAAATAATCGATCTTTTAGAAATATTTATACTTTGACAAAAAGAAAATACATATAAGCATTAAAACAATTCATTTTCCGATCATCATAATATCCTCGTAAGGTACGAAAAACTATTTTATTTGCTTTATGATTGTTCCTTGTTTTTTGTTTGCTAGAGTATTTAAGAGTGGTTTATTATGATGACAAAAAAAAAACTATATATACATCGAGATATAATATTCACAAAACTAATAGAAAAAAATCTTTTTCAAGAAAAACGAGTAAATATATAATTTTAGTAATAACAATTCTTAATGAAGTTGAAACTTAGCTGAAAAAAAAAGTATCATTGTAGTCATAAGCATAATGATGTTGCAAATAAAGTTTATTTCTTCTTTAAATATATGATTAATCCACTTTGTAATAATCCACATGAATATGATCATATTTCAAAATAAGACAGATGTAAATGTGTATATCATTATAAATGGCTATGATGAATTAATCTATTCTAGTTATTTTCGGAATATAAAAATGATTAATCAATGAATATTGGTTGTCTAAAGTAAATAATAACAGGCTTATAAACATTATGAATTATTTATTGAAACATATTTCAAATAATATACATGGCGGTTCAAGGGTAAGAGAACAAAGAATTTTTTTTTATTTCTTCTTTCTACCTGATTAATTACGTTTCATATTTATATTAACATATGCTGGATGATCAGCGACGTATTTAGGGGGGAGAATAGGGGGACCGATCCCCCCCTAACATGTTTAAATACCTGAAGGGGGGGGGGGTACGGGTTTATTATTTTTCCCAACTTAAAAATTACCTTTTTTCTATGGCGATCCCCCCCTAAAAAAATTCTTAGATACGTCGCTGTGGATGATACTAGTAAAAAATGTAGTATATTCTTAGTCTTTGGATGCAATAATTTATTCAAAAGTGTACAAAGAAATCTTACTACTCGTCTGTAATTGTAAGAGAAATTCGATGTTTTTCGATTTGCATAGTTTTGTCTGCTGAGCTCGATCTATGAAATGAATCCAATTTAATTATGTTTTCTACTGATTTGTTCTGAAAGAGGTCAAAATTAATTAAATGAAATAACCAGACAGAACTATGGGAATCGAAAAACATCGAATTTCTCTTGCAATCACAGACGAACGGTAAAATATATTTGCAAACTTTTTGAACAAATTATTGTACTCAAAGGCTGATCATTTATTATATTTTTGACTAGTATTACCTAGTATATGTGGTATAAATATGAGACCTAACTAATCATGTACAAAGAAGAAATCAAAAAAAAATCCTGTGTTCCCTTACTTTTGGGCCACTCTGCATTTTTATTTATTTATTAGATTAATAAGTCTTATTTGAAATATCAAAGCTGTGAGGCATTGCATATTGACCTTTTTTTAACGAGCTTTGGTTGGTTGCTAAGCAAATGATATATGTACTACGTGAGAAATTTAATCCGATTTATTCAGATTGTGATTTGTTTTATGAAATCGAAAATTTTAATATTATTCAGCAAGTCAAGTAAATATTTTTAAATCGTTTCTTTTTTTTTTAAATAACAGTCAATTATCAGTTGATGATTTCATCTAGAATTTCAGATTTATATTCTGAAAATAAATACAATTCATTATTTTTTGTGATAACAAGAGTTGAATACATCATCTCTATGCAGCACAATTGATAAAAGAAAAATTCATAGTATGTTTTCTTATATTGATCTGCAATACAAATTTGTTTTAACAGAATTGCTAGTATCCTTAATCATGTTTATTGGAATTAGATAATTAATTATCTAAACTAAACAGTTTATATTCAATTTAAATTGACTGTATTTTTTTGTAAATCATTACTTCAAAGTAAACGAATATAATTAATGTCTATTATATTTTATTGTAGAATTTAATATTAATCATAATATTTATATCTATCGATTTCTGATATCTAGATGTTGATAAATGTATTTAAAAGAAAAATTTTACAATTATTATTTATTTTTCTTTTATTGGTATACATTTTAAACATAAATGCATCTGAACAAACAGATGATGAAGAAGAAATCATGGATATTGGTATTCGTTTAACAGGTAACCATCGTGATTCTCTTATAGCTGATCTTATTGCTGAAGAAAGGGATATTCTTAATGCTGGACATGTAAGTCAATGAGAATGATAATAAAGAAAAACAAAAAAAAAAAGTTCTTTTTTTCTTTATGTTTCATAGATTGAGGGTATTAATTTATATCATTTTCATGTTCGTCGACAGCGTAATCATCGATCTAAACGTTCACTTGATGAAACAATTGAAGATTTAAAACGAGACGAACGAGTAAACTTACATATGAAATTAATAATAGATATTTATAGAAATTTAATATTTATATTAGATTGAATTTATAACTGTGGGTAAACCATTAATAAGACAAAAACGTGAATTTGAAGATAATGATAGATTGACAGAAGTTTTCAAAGAACATCACCAATCAATTAATTCTGAAACAGATAATTTGAAATTAGAAATGTCATTTGATGATGTATTATATAGTAAACAATGGTATTTGGTAAGTCATTATTATAACAATAATAATTAATAAAAATGATCTATTTAGGAAAATAAAGGTCAATTAGGTACACCATCTAATCATGATCTTAATATTGCACCAGCTTGGCGTGCTGGATATTGTGGTAAAGGTATAACAATTTGTATTGTAGATGATGGGCTCGATCATCCACATCCAGAATTAGCTGATCATTATGTAAGTTTCTATTTGAAATTATTTTTTATTTGAATACAAAAGGGACAAAAAAAGAGAAAGGTTTTGTTATGTTTTATAATATGATTGAAAAATAAAAAAAACTATCAAAGAATGAATTGAGTATTTATTTCTTTCGATACGAATAGCAACCTCAGTTCAGTTATGATTTAAATGATCTTAATGACCTTAAACATGATCCAGTTCCACGAACATATGATGGTCAGAATAAGTAAGAGAAATATGCTAAACTGAACATGACTTTTTATGAATTAGTCTAACTATTCTGACATATTTATCAATGCTTTTATCATATGCTTCATTCGCTTGAGCTATTCTTGTTTTTTTGTATGTCTACATGATGATGTTTCTGTTTTTTATTTTAGTCATGGTACTCGATGTGCTGGAGCAGCAAGTGGTAAAGCAAATAATGAAATATGTGGAGTTGGTGTTGCATATTGTTCAAATAGTGCTGGTTAGAGAAAATAGAAAATACGTATCTTCTTAGCGACAATATAAAGTTTTTATATTTAAATTTAGGTATTCGAGTTCTTGATGGACGTGTTACAACATTACTTGAAGCTCGTGCTTTAACATTATTTGCGGCTGATATACATATTAAAAGTGCTTCATGGGGGTAAATTATGTATAATTTAATTATTAAAAAACAACGGTTCAATTTATTTAGACCAACTGATGATGGAACGAAACTGGAAGCACCTGGCGCTTTAGTTAATGAAGCTCTCAATTATGGTGTTACGAAAGTAAGTAGTTGTCTTTTTCGAAGATTTCATATAATTATTGTTCTAATTCAAGGGACGTCATGGTAAAGGTTTGATATATGTTTGGGCAGCTGGTAATGGAGGTGGAGCTGGTGACGATTGTGGTGCTGATGGTTATGTATCACATCATAATGTTATATCAATTGGTTCAATTAATCATTTAGGTAAATCAACATATTTCGGTGAACGTTGCACATCAACAATGGCTGTTGCTTATACCGGTGGTAAACATTCAAAATTACCCGATGAAACAACGATGCCAATAGGTGTAGTTGCACCTGATGTTGGTGGAAAATGTACAACAAGTTTTTTTGGAACATCCGGTGCCGCACCAGTTGCAGCTGGTGCATTTGCATTAGTACTGGAAGCTAATTCTGAATTAGGTTATCGTGATTTAATGCATATTGTTGCTCGAACAGCTCGAATACCGACTTTATCTGAAACTGATGACTGGATTATCAATGGAGCTGGTTTTCATGTTAGTGATAGATTTGGTTTTGGTGTATTAGATGTTGGACAAATGACATCTTTAGCACAAAATTGGACTAATGTGCAATCAAGATATGAATGTTATCATGAATCTAAACGTGTTCCTCGGTAAGAATAATAGATAATTTATTTTCAAGTTTTTATTTTACTTTACTTTATTTTAATTTTTCAGTGAATTAAAGATTGGTAGAACTGTTGAAATATCAATTAATGTTAAAGAATGTGAAAATGTATCAAGTATTGAACATGTAGTAGCTAATCTTTCATATAGTTTTCATCGTCGCGGAGATGTTAAAATTACACTTATATCACCAAGTCTGACACCATCAGAATTGATTTCATATCGTGATAAGGATGCTACAAATAAAAGTATATATTAAATTACAAATATATCATTATTGATATTTTGTTTTTCTATTTCAGGTGTAGAATATTTTCCATTTATGTCAGTTCATTGTTGGGGTGAATCTCCAATTGGTCGTTGGACATTACGTATGGAAACTCGTGACCCAGAAAATAAGGAATCAATAAAATCAGCTTTAGAATATGGAGATGTAGGTGAATTAAGTTATTTTGGTTTACGTATTTATGGTTCAAATAGTCCTGATGATCAAAATCATGAAAAATCAATGAAACGAGAACATCGTTTTTCTTTTGTTCCAACACAAAATGATATTGAATTGATTTATAAACGTGAATTTGCTGCACGTACGTCACCAAATATTATGCAAAAACGTCATTATCAAAATTTTATTAAACAACGACAAATTCAAAAACAACAGGAAAAAAATAAAATTCAACAAGATCGATCATATTTTGGGTTTTTTCGCCGAATGTTTGGTTTTTAAAATTTATTCTGATATGATTTAATTACCTTAGTCTTTCTTATACATATGTGAAATAACTACCTGCGATTGAAGTATATTTTTGTTCTGTCTTTGATCATAAATCAAACAACAGTTGTGAAAGATTTCATGTTTTTTATGTCCAGTATAACTTATTCACATATTTTATTGATTTAATTGTTTCTTTATTCTTAATATTGAACAAAATAAATATGCTAATCAATTCAGCAGAATCTCTTTTATTATTTATTAAGAAAAATTTTTAGTTATATGATCATAACAATAAATTGATCTTTTCAAAAAACAATTCAACAGAATACATACGAATACAAAGAGAGATATTTGCGTACAAATTTTGTAAATGATTTTTTTGTTTCTTTGTAAAGAATAACCATAAAATAAATATTTATATCATATGCATTAAGTTTTGTTTCTATACATGTGAATATTAATATAATTCTCTTGTTCATGTTGAACTTTCAATCAATTTGATTGTAAAGCAATATTTGTTATGATACTATGAGATCATTCAAGAATAAAAAAAAACAGTACCTACTATCTTTCGATAACTGTGAAATATGAGGTGATGCTTAATGGAAGATTCAGTGGCCTGATATCTTCTCTACAACTAATACCAGCTGTAGTTCTTGACAGAAGGCTAACCGACACCAAATTCTTGCGCTTAATTGTTTGAGCTCACCATAACCACTAGTTAACCATAAGGATAGGTGTATGTTAGAGCGTAGTTAGCATGCTTTCGAGCGAATGATCCGAGACAAAATGGTGCTTAGTAACTTTCCCAGGGTCATACCATGGCTATTGATATAGAGGTCAAGAATAACGGAAAGAACTTAAGAGAGCATCTGTGAAGCCATCAAGAAACCAAAGCACTCATCAAATTTTAGTTGTTTGATTTGATATCCTCATCTTCTTCAACATCATTTAACACCTCTAAATACAAATTTTTAGTGTATTGAGTTGAACTGAAGAAAAGTTAGTCTTGTATGACTTTCGGGCACTCACTAGTATATTTCAAAATTATCGTCAAAAATTAATCTTCTAAAATTGAGTATTTTCAAATAATAACAAGTTAACGAAATTTTTTGTGTAATATACCAAAAGATAGAGTGTCGAAAGCTGAACAAAATTAGCTATTTACATATTATATTTCTATCGATGAATCCATAGGTATCTATTAAATACTATACATGACTAGTCATTTTTTGAGTGAAAAGCATGTCAATTTTTTATAGTGTATCAACTGTCATTCAGTCATTTTAAAAGATCCGACACTGATTTCCATATATGTTATACAGCTTTGTTTCCTTTACAAAATGGTTTTTAAAAAAACTTTAAAAGAAATTTTAGAATGGTGTCGAAAAGTGTGTTCCAATGTTGACTTTCAAGCAGCATTCTATACAAAAAATTTACTATGAATGTTTTTTTTTCTGATGAAAAATAGAACTTTTAATAGATTATGACTTCTCTTCGGAACTTTCTATAGAGATACGATATATTTCAATGAATATGTGCTATATATAAACTAACGAATCAACACTCATTGTCTTCTATGGAAGCAAGATTAATTAGCTAATTCGAGATATCATGACAATGTGTGAAAACATATAGAAATTAGTATTGTACAAAAATTACTAATTTATATATTCTTTAATGTTCGCATATGCTTTTAGGATAGTTATAGTATGACTAAGATAGTTGTCTACCTACATCATACAACACAGACTTGTTAGCCATGGTAAAAAAAAATCTTTTCCGTGTTTATTCTCTTCAGCATGTAGAGCCCATTCTGTTTGAAGAGGAAGAACATACTAGAAAGACCAGTATCCCTATATTTCCTAAGAGCATAACTTGGAAAATCCGTACTTAGGCAAATATGATTATTTTTCTTGATCTCTAGCACGGAATAGTAATGACTGAATTAAATATTCGGTTAATACTATGTTATTCAATACGAAACATTCAGAATTAAATTTCTAATCAAACAATATCCGAAAACATATGAGATTATTATTTAATGATTTCTTATTGCAATTTCTTTCATTTTTCTATGTACGAAAGGAAAAAATATTGAAATATGAGTTCGTTATAACATTGTTATAAATATCGTTTATCTTGCATTGTCATACGATCATACGTGTCTATCATCAAAAGATGATGGTATTTCTACTTGACTTAATTTTGGTTTATATGGATTTATTTCCATCAATTTATCTGCTAACCATAACTTTAAGAGAAAAGAAATAATAAATAATAATTTTTATAATTGAATAAAACTTACTATTGGATCTTGAGGTTTTTCTTTACATAAAGCTGTCAATGCTTTTATTAATGTTTTATTAACATTTTGTTCAAGATAATCTTTTGCCGGTTGTCCAATTGGAATTGGTTCAACAATACCTTCATATATGAATAATTAACTTTAATTTATATAGTTTCTTTTCTTTTTTCGCTTTTACTTACAATTCGGAAAGAAAAATCGAATTTCACGTTCAGCACTCACTGCACTATCACTACCATGTACTGCATTCTTTTGTTCATTAGTTCCAAACAATGCTCGAATACTATATCAAACAAAACAAAATAAAACTATTTTTATTAAAAAACGAAAAAATAAAATCAAGTTAACCTATCAGGATATGTTTCTTTTGCAACAATTGAATTTGTTGGTCCAATTAATTCTCTCCATTGTTGAATTGCATTTTCTTTTGTTAAAACCATGGCAACTATTGGAGCACTTGTCATAAATGCAACCAAACTTGGAAAAAATTTTTTTCCATAATGTTCACTATAAAAATCAGAACATTGTTCAGCTGTTAATGTTACACGTCGTTTCTAGATCAAATCCAAAAAAAAAAAAAGTTAATTAATACTAACGGATGACGAAGAATAAATGGCAGTATTAGTATTTTTTTCCTAATATCTCATTCAGTTCTCACCATTTTATCCAAAGTTTATGCTTTTGGTTCTCTACAAAACTATATATTTCTATTAATGAAAGCATGTTCTACAGTTTTCGAATACTCCATAGAAAACATTCGTTTACTATGTTCAACTCTTCAACTTAGCTTTTTTTTGCGAAGAAATATTGTAATCATACTTTTTAACTCTGAAAGTAATGTTTTCTTTTTCTACTTTAAGTTGTTCCAATTTGATTATTAAAAATTTTCATTTCAAATGTAATAGTTTAACTGATTTCAGCATTGATTATTCGAAGTCCGATGAATATTATCAAAAAAAAATCATCGAAACTATCTTGACACCAGCCATCAATTAAATGATGATATATGAATTTGTATCATCACTTTAAAATATGTTTAAATCCTTAATCATTACTAACAACCTTATTCTTATTGCCCAGGGATCTCAACATATTTCAAAATGATAATACGAATTCATATATCATCAATTAATTGATGGCCAGTGTCAAGATAATTTCAACGATTTTTTTGATAATATTCATCTGACTTCGAACAATCAAGGTAGAAATTATTTAGACTATTACATTTGAAATGAAAATTTTTAAGTAACAAATCGGAACAACTTAAAGTAGAAGAAAAAAACATTACTTTGAGGACTAAAAAGTTTGATAATAATATTTTGAAGAAAGACTAACAAGGGAATTTCTCTAGGTGTCAAATCGTTTGTTGACTGAGACAATGTTCATTTGATGAGTACTAGTGAATAATAGAAAAATCTACAATGGTTTAGTTTTTCAAGCCTTCGTTCTGATGGTATCGGAATTTTATTGGATTGTTCAACAAAAGTCTGTGACCTTTCTCAGATCACATGAAAAAAATGACTTTCGAGTTTCGACTTCAAATTTTACATGAACAAAATTCTCAATGAGATTAGTTGATTGTACAAATGTTAGCTTTTCTAGTATTTCCTTTCTGAAGATGTAAATATATGAACAAAATTTGCTTTTACACATAAGAGAATTTCGAATATCGAACATCTTAAGATAGGAAATACTAGAAAAGTTACAATTTGCTCAATGAACTAATTTCATTGAGAACTCTATTCGTGCAAAGTTTAAAGTCGAAACTCGAAAGTCATTTTTCTACATAACCTGAGGGCTGGAAAAACTTAGTAAAACTTCGATATTTCGAGAACAAAGGTTTGGAAAACCAAATCATTTTAGACTTTTTCATTACTCACTAACACTCATCAAATGAGTATCATCTCAGTCGAAAAGCAATTTGATACTTAGAGAGCTTTTCTAATCAGTTGGAAAGTTGATAATATTAAGCCAATCATTTCTATTAGATATTCGAAAACTATGAAACATACTTTCATCGCTAGAAATATATATATATAGTTTTGTAAAGAACTAAAAGCATAATCTTTCAATAAAATGCCGAGAACTGAATAAGATATTAGAAAAATATTGACATTTCTATTTATTATGCATCATGCGTTAATTTTCTTTTAATTTAATTTCAATAACAAACTTGTAAAATAGCAAAACCATGATTAAGAAGAATTGTTTCAATTTCATCGGCTGTATTAATAGCATCTGGTTTAATTAAAGCAAGTGTACGTTCAACAAATATTCCATGTTTATTGAAATCCATTCTTGAACTATGATCACTTCTTAACGTATCTTCAACACCACTTTGTCGTTGTCGATTTGTTTGATCATTGTCACTATCGAAACTTTTACCTGTATGTAATTCCATTAGAATAATTGAGATCAAGGTTAACAGACACTTTTCTCTTTTTTTTCAAAGTATAAAGAATAACAATACCCAGAAGAAAAACCTTTCTATCCTCATGAAATTTGTTGTTATAGTTAAACCTCTAAATGAAAATATGACCTTTGATAGATGTCATTTTGAAATTTAATATGATTGGTTGACTATAAATACCAACACAAATATTTTTTCGCATATTTATTTATTCATTCATTCATTCATTCATTCATTCTGTTTTACTTATCTCTATTCAATCAAACAATGGCGACTTCAATAGATGATACAAATAAAAAAATTGTCATCGTAGGTGCAACAGGAAATACTGGTTTACAACTTGTTGAACAAGCATTAGCACGTAATTATAAAGTAACTGCACTTGTACGAAATTCAGACAAATTAGCACATCTTGCACATAAAAATCTTGAAGTAAATTATTTCAAATTAATCTGATGAATATTAAACAAAAAAAACAAACAAATCATGATTTTTTTTGTTTTAGGTGATTAAATGTGATTTAATGAATCCATTGGAATTAGCTAAACATTTAGAAGGACATGTTGCTGTTTTATCAGCACTCGGTCAACCTGGTCTTCAAATGTCGGCAATGACTTTTTATGAAGATTCAATGAAATCAATTGTAACTGCAATGCGTAATGCAAATATCAAACGATTAATATGTATAACATCATTTTATACAAAATGTAAATTTGTTTTTTTTTTTGAAGAAATATATTTTGTTTTTTTTGTATATTTCAATGAATATAATTTAGATCAACCTGAAATATATCCATTTAAATTTAGACTTATTATTCGTCCAATGATTGGGCGTCATCTGGATTCAATGTATATAATGGAACAATATCTTGAAAATGAATGTCAAGATATTGATTACACTATTATTCGACCACCACGTTTACTTGATGAACATATTATTGGTTTGTTTAAAATTTTTAGTACTTTTTGTTTTTCGTTAATTTTTATTTTTATTTTTATTTTTAATAATTTAGAAAAAGAAGTTAAAGTTAATGAAAATGATTATTTTTTTCCTAATCAATCAACAGCTAATCAAATACCAAGAGCTAATGTAGCTCGTTTTATGTTGGATATATTAAAAGATGAAAAATATATTCGACAAGCTGTTGCTATTGATATGTCAAGTGGATGAGATAAATCCCGTTGAACAACTATATAATAAACAAAATAAAATATTTATCGCATTTAAACTTGCCATTACATCTCTTTTTCTCTAATGATTATATTGCAATAAAATAAAATTTCTTTGTTTTTACTTTTCAGATTATCTATTTTCAAAGGATGGCAACAACTCAACCGACGTATGTAGTTTAATTTCTCATGCATTTGAAAAAAAAAAAAACTTTTATTTGTTTTTTTCAGATACGATTATTCAGCTTATGATTATTCATATGATACAAGTTCATCATCAGCTTATTCATCTTATCCAGGTTATGAAACAAGTGCATCTTATGCACCACCTGGAACATATGATAGTTATGCAGCATCTGCAACTTATCCTACAAGTAAACTATTTCGATAGGATTAATTGAATTAAAATTTTTTTTCTTGTTTAGGTGCTGCTTCGACTAGTTCACCTTATACAAGTGTAGATCCATATTCTGGTTATTCAGCAGCGGCTTATGGTTATCCAACAACAGCTACTAGTGCCGGTGCTCCACCAGCAACTGCAAATCAACCATCATATCCACCATCTTATAGTTCATCGCCAACAGCAACTGGCTATACATATGATTCAAGACGTATGACACCACCACCACCAGCATCAGCAACTGCTCATTATGCACCTTATGATTATACATCAAGTGCTGCTGGTATAAATAATTCTATTATTTTTATCAAATCGTTGTTTTTTTTCGTGTTTTAGCTGCATATGTTGGTGGACCTCCAACAAGTGCTGCTTATTCTCCATATAAATCCGTATCTGCAACAAATGGTTCGTCATCGACAAGTGCCTATTCGACATATCCTAGTTCAGCTCCACCACCACATGGAACATATGGTGTTCCGCCTGGTAGTCATCTTTCAGGAGCAATAGGTGCACATCCACCTCCATCTCATGTCTATGGTCCACCTCCGCCAACAGCTGGTATGATGCCACGTCGACCAGATTATTATCCACCACCTCAAATGCCTCATTCAATGCATTATGTTTCACATCAAGCACAGCCAATGCATTATCGGTAAGTGAATTTATCTCCCCCACCGAAAAAAAAAAATATTAATTTTGATTTTTTGTGAATATTTTGCTTTGTTCTATCGCTCTTTCGTATTGTTTTATTTTTCTAAGTTTTTGTTCTTTAATGTTTCGGCATAAAAAAAAAATAACAACAATTGAATATTTTGTGTTCTATTATTATGTAATGTGTTTTTGGATCAGTTATTATTCTATTCTTTGTACTTTTCTAGGATCGATATACAATAGCAAATACATATATATAGAAATTATATATATATATATGTACTATTTGCTAATATTGAATTTAAAATATTTTATCTAATTTTAGGTTGATTTAGTACTGCATATTTACAAAAAAAAATTGCGTCATATGTTTTCTTATATAAATTTTTGTTTTTGGTTTTTTTGTATACAAAACAAAAAAGAAAAGGATTTTTGTGTTGTTGGTTTTTTTTTGTTTTCTTTTTTTTCTATCTTTTGACAATTTAAACTTCACGACAAACATTGTTCTATTATCTTCTTGTGTATTCCAGTTTGCCACCTCGAGGGGGCTATCAACGTGAACTTGATGGTAAGTAAAACTCTGTTTTTTTTTCCTTTCTTTATTTCCGCTCAGCAGTTTCTGTTTTGTGTCTTTTTTTGCTTTTACAAGAGATTTAAAGATAACAAAAAAAAAAAACAAAAGAAAGAAAAGAAAAGATTCATCAGATAAAAGAATTTTTCCTTGTTCTATATGTTTGCGTATGTGTGATATTAAAAGATTGAATGATGTTTATCGCTCTTTGTTTCAAGTGTTGAGAATTTTGTCTATTTATGATATTTGTTTTAATTTGGTTATATTACTCCGTTAGCGTTATTGTTTATTTCATTTCATTTTCTTTTTTATTTTCTAATATCGTTCTATGAATTATTCGATTTATTTTGATTTGTTTACATTTGTTTTATTAAATATTTCTATAGAACCTGGTGATGAAAATGCACTTCTTCGACATGTTGTCTATATAACTGGTTTACCAAAAGAAATTCAAAATGAAACATTAGCTGAAGTATTTAGTGCTGCATGTGGACCTATTGCACCGGTAAGAATTTTTTCGTTTTCTCACAAGGAAACACATCCTCAAGTGACATATTGCTCTTAAGTTAAGACGATATTTAATCGATAGAGCCTGATGAGTATGTAAATACTATAGAGTGATTCGAGCCGCTGAGATTCCGAATATTTAGTGAAGTTTTTTAGTGATGGGCAGAATCAATCGTTTTTGATGCCGGTTCCAGTCAGAAGAAAAATTTTCGATTCTGGTTTCGTGCAAGTTCATTATTTTTTTTGAATTCACTGATATGTCGTCTATTCTGCATGTTTGTGTTCGACAACTCTGTTGTTAACGAAAAAAAGGGTTCATTTTTTATTATTAAAATTGTAACAGCAACTATTGAAGTGATCGATACTCAATAATTTTCATATAAGTTTTTAGAACACATGAGTTGTGAGAAAATGAGATTTAACGCAAGTTTTACACAACCATAAAAGATAGTACTCCCAATAAAAAAAAAATTGATCCCGTGATCGGAACCATCTTGCCTATATCTAGGATTTCTCCTGTACGGTTCCAATTTCCAAGTGAAATTATATTTTTGAATTTTGATCTGAAAGTTTGCCAACATAAAGTCATCGATTAGATTAGTTCGTCGAAAAAATTTCCGAATTTTTGAAAACATCCATGTTTTTAATAATAATCATGGCAAAGCGATTTTATTTTAAACAGCTCATATCTTGGAGACACTTGACCAAAAAATTCTAAAATTCTTCTTACAAGCTACTGTAATCAGTGCCTTTATTTAGGCAAAGTTTTGGTTCAAAATTCAAAAATATAATTTTGCTTGAAAAATAAGACAGCGACTCGAATCATTCCAGGATATTTACTTACTCATTAGACCGTATCAATTTAATATAGTTTCAGCTTAAAAACGATTTATCACTTGAGAACTTTTCTTTGTTAAATTTTTTTATGATGTAATTCAGGTCGATGTACGTTCACCAAAACCAAAAATTTGGGTTTATAAAGATCGACAAACACGTGAAGGTAAAGGTGAAGCTACAATTACATTTATCAATCCTGAATCATGTCAAACGGCTATTAATTATTTTAATGGTAATCAATAGAGTATTTTTTTTTTAATATTTGGTTGTTTTTTTCTTTTAGGAAAAGAATTGTTTGGTCGTGAAATTCGTGTTACATTATGTCCAAGACGTATGTACAATATGCAAAAACAAAATACACCATTCAATCCTGCAGCTCCGCCAATGAATACAACTACAATGATTAAACCAATTAATACAAATAATAACGGTAATACAACAACAACAACAACAACAACTGATAGTGCAACAACAACGACAACAGCAACGACTTCTACAGCTGCAAGTACAACATCAACAACAACGTCTACAACAGCGCCTGTAACAACAGCTAATCCAATAGCAACAATATCTTCATCAACACATGGATTATCTCGTCAATTAAATCATTCATTATTTAAATTCCGACAAACACCAGAACAACAACGTGGTCTTTTACCTACTCCACCTATTTCTTTGTAAGATATTCAATATTTAATATAATCGATTTGTATTAATTGTTTTTTTGTTTTATTGAATTTAGTGGAGCACCTATCATTGGTAGTGCAGTTCAACGGGATGGTGTTCGAAAAGAATTACCTCGTATTGCTTTAAATAGGCAAGTATTATTTTAATATATATATATATATGTATTTA